TTCCAAAATTATCTTCAAAAATCATTGATTTAAACAGCAGTAGTTTCATTCTCTACTTGGCAAAGTAGAGATAATATTTCATTGTGCAAATAAGCAAAAACAATTAATTAATCTAGACTTCTATGTTCTGTTTGTTGTGTATTTGTGTAATACTAGGATGTCAGTATTACAGCTGCAGACTATAGACCAGTGAACCTCAACTGCCGGCACGCATGCCACATCTGGACTGCCAGACCTCTCCACCCGGCCCACCAACCCTTTGGGCCCTAGTGCCCCCAATAAGGGTACTTTGAAGTTTAGCAGCAAAATTCATGTTCCAAATATCAATAATTGTTTACGTTCTCCAAACACAATATGCTGTTGGAGTGTTCTTAGACCTGACCAAAGCTTTTGACACTGTCAATCATGACTTATTAATCAAAATATTGTGTAGATATGGCATCAGGGTTGTGGCCTATTACTGGATTAAGAGTTATTTAGAGAACAGACTCCAATACATCCACATTTACAACACTGGTTCACAGCTACTGACAGTGACCACCGGTATCCCACAGGGGTCAGTGTTAGGTCACTTGTTGTTTATTCTTTATATTAATGACATATGTTTAGTTTCTAAAACATTGCATTTCATACTGTTTGCAGATGATACTAATGTTCTAAGTTTTGGGAAAGATTTAATAACATTAATGGACAAGGTTGAGAAAGAATTAAATGCATTAAAGTGTTGGTTTAATTCAAATAAATTAACTTTAAATCTAAATAAAACAAAATTTATCATATTTATTAATAGAGCAATTACAGTGGATACACATCGCAAAATAAATAATACAGAAATTGAAAGAGTGAATGAAATAAAATTTATTTGCGTAACCATAGAAAAAGAGTTAAGTTGGAAACTGCATATGGACTCAATTACAGTTAAGTTATCTAAATCATTAGCAGTTCTCTATAAAGTTCAAGAATTTTTAGATGAAAAAGCTTTATATCTTTTGTACTGTTCTTTAATTCTGCCCAATTTTGTGTTGAAGTGTGGGCAAATACCTACGAAACCCACTTAAAGCCTTTGTTTATAATTCAGAAGAGAGTAATTCGACTTGTAAATAAAGCAGCTTGTAGAAAGCATACACATTTACTTTTTGTTCGTTTAAAAGTATTAAAGCTAAGAGAATTAGTTACATTTAGAACTGCACAATTTATGGATAAAGTCATGAATAATTTGATGCCAAAACAAATTCAGGATCTGTTCCAGATCAGAGAGTGTGTTTATGATCTCAGAGGGTATAAAATGTTTAGAAAGCCTAAAGTAAGAACTAAAATGAAACAACTTTGTATTTCTTGTGTTGGGGTTGATGTGTGGAATAAATTAGACCAGGAGCAAAAAGATTGTTCAACAATGGTAAAGTTTAAGGGTATATTTTAATCAAATGTGATTAAATATTCGGTACACTTGGTACCAGGGCAGCCTAGGTCGCAGATCGATGATAGACTTTGTAGTCGTATCATCTGACCTGCGGCCGTATGTTTTGAACACCCGAGTGAAGAGAGGAGCGGAGCTGTCAACTGATCACCACCTGGCGGTGAGTTGGATCAGATGGCAGGGGAAGATGCCGCGTAGACCTGGCAGACCCAAACCCATAGTGAGGGTCTGTTGGGAACGCCTGGCAGAAGAACCTGTCAAGACGGTCTTCAACTCCCACCTCCGGCAGAGCTTTGACCGCGTCCCGAGAGCAGTGGGGGATATTGACTCCGAGTGGGCCTTGTTCCACTCTGCAATTGTTGAGGCGGCTGTTTCTAGCTGTGGTCGCAAGGTGGTCGGTGCCAGTCGTGGTAGCAACCCCCATACCCGCTGGTGGACACCAGAGGTTTGGGGAGCCGTCAGGCTGAAGAAGGAGGCCTACAGGGTGTGGCTGGTCTGTGGGTCTCCGGAGGCAGCAGACAGGTACCGCATAGCCAAGCGGGGTGCAGCAGTGGCAGTTGCCGAGGCAAAATTTCGGCCGTGGGAGCAGTTTGATGAGGCCATGGAGAAAGACTATCGATCGGCTCCAAAGAGGTTCTGGCAAACTGTCCGGCGCCTCAGGAGAGGGAGGCAGCAACTCGCAGTTGGATGGTGGAAGGAATACTTTGAGGAGCTCCCCAATCCCACCTACGCGCATTCCGAGGAGGAGCCAGAGCCAGGAAACCTGGGGATGGACTGTTCAATCTCGGGGGCAGAAGTTGCTGAGGTAGTCAAACAACTACACAGCGGCGGAGCACCGGGGGCAGATGAGATTCGTCCTGGGTATCTCAAGGCTATGGATGTTGTTGGGCTGTCGTGGTTAACACGTCTCTGCAACATTGGGTGGTCATCGGGGGCAGTCCCTGTGGTGTGGCAGACCGGGGTGGTGGTCCCCATCTTTAAGAAGGGTGACCTGAGGGTGTGTTCCAACTATAGGGGGATCACACTCCTCAGCCTCCCTGGAAAGGTCTACTCCAAGGTACTGGAGAGGAGTATCCGATCGATAGTTGAATCTCAGATTGAGAAGGAGCAATGTGGTTTTCGTCCTGGCCGTGGAACTGTGGACCAGCTCTATACCCTTGCAAGGGTGATGGAGGGGGCATGGGAGTTTGCCCACCCAATCCACATGTGTTTTGTGGATTTGGAGAAGGCTTATGACCATGTCCCCAGGGGCACCCTGTGGGAGACACTCCAGGAGGATGGGGTGGGTGGCTTTCTGTTAAGGGCCATTCAGCCCCTTTACCAGAGGAGCGTGACTTTGGTCCACATAGCCGGTAGTAAGTCGGACCTGTTCCCGGTGAGGGTTGGACTCCACCAGGGCTGCCTTTTGTCACCGGTTCTGTTCATCACTTTTATGGACAGAATTTCTAGGCGCAGCCGTGGGGTGGAGTGTGTCGAGTTTGGTGGCAGGAGAATCTCGTCTCTGCTTTTTACGGATGATGTGGTCCTCCTAGCTTCATCCAGCTCTGACCTTCAGCTCTTGCTGGGTAGGTTCGCGGCCGAGTGTGAAGCGGCTGGGATGAGGATCAGCACCTCCAAGTCTGAGACCATGGTTCTCGGCCGGAAAAGGGTGGCTTGCCAACTCCGGGTCGGGAGAGAGGTCCTACCTCAGGTGGAGGAGTTTAAGTATCTTGGGGTCTTGTTCACGAGTGAGGGTAGGAGGGATCGGGAGATCAACAGGCGGATTGGTTCGGCGTCTGCAGTGATGCGAACGCTGAGCCGATCAGTCGTGGTGAAGAGCGAGCTGAGCCAGAAAGCCAGGCTCTCGATTTACCAGTCGATCTACGTCCCAATCCTCACCTATGGTCATGAGCTTTGGGTAATGACCGAAAGAACAAGATCGCGGATGCAAGCGGCCGAAATGAGTTTCCTCCGTAGAGTGGCTGGGCTCAGCCTTAGAGATAGGGTGAGGAGCTCGGACATTCGGGAGGGACTCGGAGTAGAACTGCTGCTCCTCCGGATGGAGAGGAGTCAGTTGAGGTGGTTAGGGCATCTGGTCAGAATGCCTCCTGGACGCCTCCCCGGGGAGGTGTTTCGGCATGTCCTGCCGGCAGGAGGCCCCCGGGTCAACCCAGGACACGTTGGAGAGGTTAAATCTCCAATCTGGTCCGGGAACGCCATGGGGTCCTACCGGAGGCGCTGGTGGAGAAGGCCGGGGAGAGGACGGTCTGGAGCTCCTTAGTTGGGATGCTGCCCCCACGACCCGGACCCAGATAAGCGGAGGAAGACGATGATGACGACGACGTGATTAAATATTGTGAATCAAGTCAATGAAAAAAATGTATAAAATATTAAAGGTCATTATTTTTTATAAAGCAAGAATGGGGATTTGAATATATTTCAATAAATTTCGATAATGATGTATAAATTATGGAATCGGTATGCTATTCTAAAATTTTGCTTAAGTGGGTTTGGGGGGTTGGGCTTATCAGCTTATGCTTATGCCTGCACCCATTCTTTGAATTGTGTAAGTTGTGTGTTTGCTTGTAAACCTGTAAATGTTTTTTGTTGTACTATTTTGATTGTACTATTGATTTTAATTTCTCACTAAACTCATTTCTCATTCTCATTGAAAAACACAACTAAAACTACTATCAAAACAGTTTAGATGACTGAATGATGGAGTTAAAAAGACATTTTAAATATTAATGCATTAAGAATCAATAATACTTTAACCCTCTGGAGGCAGGCGTTGCAGATTTGCAACAGTTGAAATCTACCTACCAGGTAGATACGTATTTAATGAGCATTTTTTAACTCAGAAGTACCCCTGAAGGACTTAACTTATTTTGAGCCTGCAAGGTTAACTTAATTTTAGAAGGGCATCTGGCTCTCACGGTGTCTGCAGGAAAAAAACTCCAGCCCTTGAACAAATTGAGGACACCTGCTCATTATTTTTTCATGTTATTTCTTTGTACTTGGATTTTATTGGCTATTATTCAGTTTGTTAGGATCTACACACACACACACACACACACACACACACACACACACACACACACACACACACACACACACACACACACACACACACACACACACACACACACACACACACACACACACACACACACACTACTTACATAAACTTGTGACCTATTAGAATTAGACTCTTCCTGGGGCAATTTCATACAGTCTGTGTTTTTCTCTGCCTTTGCATGCCAGGGCAGGTAGTTCAGGTAATCTGGAAGGAAGAGGTGAAGCAGCGCTTGTGTAAACAATACAAGAGTACATCCTGTAACGGCATGTGACTGCTGCCGCTCGGGGAAACAGTAACACACAAGGACATAATGTGCAAACATTCCTCATTAAATCAAGTCCTTGAGTGTCCGGTCAGAACATGGGTCTGAACCATAAAACTATATAATATGTGCTTTTTTTTAAATTCAAACCTGCTTTCAGAAGTTTTTATTATTTTCACAAATTTTCAGACCGACTCTGATTCACAAATATTCCTTATCTTTTACGTGTTTTACGGTAGATCTGTCGTTCCAACCGGAAGTCTTGTTGACAACTTCCTTAGTAACAAGGAGGTTGCTATGATTGAGCATTTAGCCAAACGCTACCTCGGGAAAGTCAGATATTTTGAGTATTTTTGAATGTGTGGATAGGTGTTCGTAGCACCGCCATGTTGGAGAAATGACGCGTTTCTGGTGTTTGTTTTGGCTCCATGTTTACATCGCTTCCTGTGGAGGAGTTGGGGCTCGCGCAGCTGCAGACCAGGGGACCGCTGGGGCTGTGGACACCCCTCCGACAATAGGGGGGCCCTTCAGCTCAGCCACATCGGCTCCGGGGAGTTCGGGAGTCACTGAGCAGGCAACCCGTCCGCCCGCTTTGGACTCCATGATAACTACTACACCGGACTCCATGGTAACCAATACACAGGACTCCCTGGTAACAGCTCCACGGGACTCCATGGTAACCAATACACAGGACTCCCTGGTAACAGCTCCACGGGACTCCATGGGAAATACTAATCCCTCCATAACTGAGGCTCCATCACCTACAACCACCGTCCAGACCGTGATATCTGGAGAAGGCAAGACCTTTAACCTTGTTTTAATGAACCTGCAAAGTTTCTAAAACCAATTTAGTCATCCGGACCTCACTCTTAAAACTTTTAACAATGCCATTATACACACTTGATCCAGAGGACAAATGAGTGTTATGTAATAAAATCATCTCAATGATCTCAGCATTTTCATCTGCGCTGCCTCCACGTCTGCCTCCTGTCTTCTACTTGATGCTGCTGTCTCTAAACCACGCAGCATCTCTGGTCTCCTGCAGAAACTCTTATCACAGCTGACATTTTTCTCCAGCTTCAACATTCTCCACTTAGCACTGAGTCCTCTAACCTCACTCTTCAACTTGGGTCATTCTTGTTCACCCACATGTAACCCACATGTAATCTGGATAATCTCTCACTTGGTTTGATCAACTTTTAGATTGTTTTGCAAACGTTTTTAGGAGATGAATTAAATGCATTTCATTATGTCCATAAGAGAGTTTACCTCCTCTGCATCTTATAAAAATTGTCTGCTCGTAGATTTAAATCACAGAAGGGGGGGTTGATTTGGGTCTTGTATTATATGTTTGCGCGTTTTTATCATTTATATGAATTCTTTATCTGTTGTATGATTACAGTGTTCCCTCTTGTCTTTCAGGTTGTCTCTGCGATTTAACGCCTGATTTTTGTGACATTGGCTGCTGTTGTGACACAGCTGATTGTGATGCTGCCAACCTAACAGCCATCTTCACTGGATGTTCACCAGCAGTTATGTAGGCCGTCCTTATACTCTCCCCTCCTGTGTCACAGACAAAAGTATAATTTAAGGTGTAAAATAACTTTTCTTTAGCAGATCTGAAGTCTGCGTTGAGAAGTGGCTCATGTTCAGAGCCAACGTTGATTCATCTCTTGTCACCGTCACTGACACCATGTTTTGTGTGCGTTCCAAAGGTAAAAAGATGTTTTTTTAATGTTTTGTATAATTCATCAGACACATGTCCCTCATATCTGTTCTTATTTTTTTGTTTACCGCCCATCAGCTGCTGCTCCTCAGTCTCTCCCTTCCCTCCATGAGAGTCCAGCTTTAGGAGACTCGTACCACTTCTCACCATCAGGACACATGTTCATCAGGCACAGCAGGCACTTCTACAGGGTAAACAGGCGTATGGGCCGTATGTGTTCAAACAAAACAACCTGGTTTTTATATTTAATCACAGATATTTGACATTTTGTTTTAGGCCGATGATGTTATCCAGACGTTTTTCTCCAACTCCTCTGTCCGTGGTCTCCTTCGTCAACCTTCTGCTGGAGCAGCTTCTGCTTTCTGCTTCAACCGCAACCCTGCAAGTAAGTTCAGAAAGGCTATACCGAATGGTTCCTCTTTAAAAGGGAGTTTGTCTGGAGTTAACAGGATTTTATCATCTTTGTTTGAGTTAATAGATTGTAAAAACATCAAAAATAAGGGCAGGTTTATACTTTTTTCCCCTTTGGAACGTCTTTTAAACAGAAATCCCAACCTGGACCCAGCAGTGCTGTCTAACTTCAAACCCGTGTCTAAATGGCCGTTCTTGTTAAAAGTATCAGAAAGAATTGTCTTTATTCAGCTTTAGTTATTGAGGAATATTTTCAATCTGGGTTTAAATCTAGACAGCACTGAGCATGAGATTTTCTTGTCAAATTTAGGGGAACTAGTCGCTTCCATATCATGCTATTTTAAACCTTTGAGAGCAAAGGTAGGCACAATATGTGATCAAATATTTCCGTTAGCATTATTGAGATGTAATTTATCTTAAATACGGGTTATTTTCGTCAGCTTGAATTTACACCTGTTTCAGTGAAACTTTGCCCATGCCCACTCTGACAAAATGTGCCTAGAACAGCGTCTTAGGCGGATCGGTTGCTGTGTTGTTTATGGTGATCCAGTGGTTAAGGTGTCCAACCTGGCACTCTAACCACTGGACTACCAAGTCTGTCAAATGACACCAGTCGCATAAGCCATAATCCTGTGCTGACCTGGAGAGACAGGTTTCAGACTAGAGACTAGCTTCAGGAAGAGGAGCAGGGCCTGATGACGAGATTAGTTTCCATTAAGAATTTATGGCACTTTCAAAGTAAAAGGCAAAATTTGCAGCTGAGACAGGAAAATGCATGAATGAAGCCATCATTCATCCATTCACACACACACACACACACACACACGGATAGTGATAATGAGCTATGATGTAGCCACAGCTGCCCTGGGGCGCACTGAGGCTTCCGAGCGCAGGCATCACCAGTCCCTCCGACCACCACCAGCAGGTAAGGTGGGTTATGTGTCTTCCCCAAGGAATTCTCTGTCTGGAGCCGGGATCGAACCTGCAACCTTCCGATTACTGGACAGCCCGCTCAACCTCTTGAGTTACCTTCTTACCCCTGAGAGCACTGAAAGGATTGTCATTGCAGCCTCTGTTTGACCATTTGAATGATTTTCTGGGTTGGATAGCACAGAATTCCCTACATCTCAGTGAAAGCCAGACTGAATGTGTGCTGTCTGGTGACCTTAATGTCCCGACCTCCTTAAATCAGAGCCTTGGTTCCACATTAAAAGTAATCAGTAAAAATCCAGGATTTGTGTTTGATAGCAACCAGAATTCAGACAGACAAACATGGTGGGGAAATCCAGTTTTTTCTATCTAAGATTACTGAACAGTCAAGCCAGTTTCTCCCATAGCGACCTTCAGATAGTGATTCATGCTCCAGTCTTGACCATTGTAATGCTCTGACTGAATTCTGGAGTTGGCAAGTCGTCTGTGTCACACCTTCAGGCAGTCCAGAACGCTGCTGCTGGCCTTCTGATGCACACGAGGAAGTTTGAACATACCTCTCTTCACTGGCCTCCTGTTGCATTTTGGGTTGATTTTAAATGACTAACTTTTTCTTTGTAAATCATTAAAAGGCCTGATACTGCCCTGTTTAAGCGTTCAGCAAGAGCCCTTGAGTCGTCTACTCATAACCAGAGGTCCCTAAATATAAACGCTTACTATTGGAGCTGCCTCCAGTGTGATAGTTTAACTTTGCCAAGGCTGCCTTTGTCACATGTTCATAACCTTTACGGACAGGATTTCTAGGTGCAGCCAAGGTGTTGAGGGGATCCGTTTTAGTGGCCTAAGGATCAGGTCTCTGCGTTTTTGCAGATGATGTGGTCCTGTTGGCTTCATCAGAACGTGATCCCTGACTTTCGCTGGAGTTGATCGCAGCTGAGTGTGAAGCAGCTAGGACGAGAATCAGCGTCTCTAAATCTGTGACCATGGTCTTGAGCCAGTAAAGGGGTAGAAGGCCTTCTCCAGGTCAGGGATGAGGTCCTGTCTCAAATGAAGATAGAGCGCGAGATCGACAGGCGGATTGGTGCTGCGTCTGCAGTGATGTGAGCGTTGTACCGGTTTGTCATAGTGAAGAGAGACCTGAGCCACAAGGCAAAGCTCTCGGTATACCGGTCATCTACGTTCCTACCCTCACCTGTGGTCATGAGCTTTAGGTAGTGGCCGAAAGAATGAGATTGCAAATACAAGCTGAAATTAGTTTTCTCCACAGGGTGGCTGGGCTCTCCCTTAGAGATAGGGTGAGAAGCTTGGTCATTCGGGAGGGGCTCATAGTAGACCCGCTGCTCCTCCACATCAACAGGAGCCAGTTGAGGTGGCTCGAGCATCTAATTAGGATGCCTCCAGGACGCCTCCCTGGTGAGGTTGTCAAACCAAAAGGAGACCAGAGGGACACGATGGATGGACCGTGTCTCTCGGCTGGTCAGGGAGCGCCTTAGGGTTCCCCCAGAGGAGCTGGCCCAAGTGGCTGGGGAGAAGGAAGTCTGGGCCTCTTTACTTAGGCTGCTGCCCCTGTAACCTGACCCCAGATCAGCAGAAGAAGATGGATGGACTTTTATTCCTTGACTTTTAGAGTGTGACACTGTCCCAGTATTTCCACATTTCCTTAATTGTTTGTTTATTCCAGTAAGTGTAGCGTTGTATGCTAATTGCTGTCCTGTACCCAGTTTACGTTCTTTTAGGATCTCCTTTTATATTTAAGCGCTTTTGTCAACGATTAGTTGTTTAAAAGAGCTGTATAAAAAAACTTTGATTTGGTTTGAGAAGCTGACATACCTTTGTGACAGTCACCTCCTAAATCTGCCTCACCGCCTCCCTCACAGGGTTTCTTAGGTCTTCGCTGCTGACTTGTACCCGCATGGTGACTCCCCAGTCTTGCACCACAGATTCGAGTCTCAGCGCTCACTCCTACACTTCACCCATGAGTCTGATAAAGGTCAGCCACTAATCTGAGCAGCCTGAAGTTACTGGGGGTCAGATTACAGCAGAGCAACAATGAATCCTCTTGTTACAGATTCCAATCAACGAAACTGTGACTCCATCAGATTTTCTGGTAAGCTACAAACTCTAAACGCTCACAGGTAGTGAAAAAAAATCATCTTTTCAAATATTTAAATTGTACAAACACTATTTACAGCATTAAAATGCTGTTTTTATGAGCCATAGGCTAAAGCGTGTGTGTGCATGAATATACTTCATGTACAGGTATAACTGTTGTGTCTGAGTGTATTATCTGTGATTTCAGATCCCAGTCATTCCACTGGGCCAGTGGCCTGCACCAGTAAAAATGAACAACTCCTGTTTAAATGTTGTGGAAAAGGTGAGTAAGTTCATTCATGTGTTTCACACCCAAAGTGTTGTAGTCCATGACGAAGGCGAGCTTCCTGCAGGTGGAGTTTACCATCGGCTTCACGAGCAGAGGGGAGCTGTCCAACGCTTCGGTCAGCGTGGTTTTGACTGATCGGACTCTCCATCAGCAGCTGCTACAAACACACTCTGTGCAGTTCCAGGTAGGTTGTTTTATTAAATGTTTAGTTTGACTCACCGAGGATTCAGACGCAATAAGAGCCACATCTGGCATGACATTCCCACAGCTGACCACTCCCAGCCCCACTCCAGCAAGGGCGACACCTGCTGTCGGATATCGAGTGGGGTCTCTGGTTTTTGGTCACTTTGAAGGAGAAGTGAAACCCGTATCCTTTGTAACAGAGCTTTGACTTCGCTGTTAGATGCTATTCTGGGGTTTATTTGGCGAGTTCTGCTCCAGTAACGCAGCTTAGATCCTTGACGGTGAACTAGGTGACCACACTTGGACCGTCACAGGGTGGGGAGTGTTCTCCTGTTCCCAGATCAGCCGTCCTCTTCACACACAACACCATCTCTGGCTGCACATTCATGTGAGTTGACACGATTTCATCTCAGTTCTGTTTGAATGTAAACTGGGATTAAATCGGATTATATTGTCTCACTTCTGCTTCTTTCATTTCTCCCTCTGCCGTCCAGTTCCCTGGCCAGGAACTGCACCGAGCTGCGTTCACGGATTTATGAGATCTTACAAGGACCGGCTGCTCCTGACATGATGGCCATGAACTCAGGCTCCCAGCCGGACTGGACCAGAGTAATCAGGCGAGAGTGTCCCATCAGCCCGCAGGTACCTGTTAATCCAGTTTGGCTGAGCTGGTAAAAGTTCCACCTCCTGTTCAGACTTTTATCCGTTTCCTCCTTCAGGAAACGTGTGACTCCGGCTGCGTCCTCCCACTCTCCCTCTCGGTCCAAGTGCTGTGGGCTCGCCAGGGTTTCACCGACGTTCCTCAGAGCTACATCCTGGGAGCCAAGTTTCTCTTCCACTGTCAAAAAGTCAAGGTGCACGACCACTTGGCTCGTTCTGAACTCACTAGCACTTTTCCCGTCTTTTCTTTCCTTCAACATTAACGAAGCCTTGTCTTCGTTTTTTCCAGTGTCCTTCTACGTTTCCTCTCGCCCTGACAACCAGAGTTGTGTTTGTTGAGACCACTGTTTACCCAGAAGTCCCCAGAGGATCGCCTCAGCCTCACGTTTAGCCTCTTCACAAGCAGCGGCGCCGAGCTGGACGACGTCCCTGTCAGCAGCAGCAACGCTGCGGAGGTCACAGTCTGGACGCTAACAGGATCATCGCTACGTAGCTTCTGACCGTCATACTCTCAGACCTTTTACCATTTAGACTGCTGGCTGAAGGAAGAGCGTGTCCTTTTCAAAAGTAAAAATACTTGTTTTTATTCACTTATTTTACAAGATAATAAATATTTTCTAAGATAATCTGTCACTGAGGTAAGGATGCACACAGCTCCTCTTCTCTCCCCTCCTTTTGGCGTCGCTGGTTTCCGTGCGATGTTTTCTTCCGTTTCTCTGCAAAGCACACGTAGTTGAAGAGATTGACGACCGCAGCAGGAGTTATTCCTTCCAGACGCGTCGCGGCGCCCAGCTGGGGGACAGAGACAGAACAGAGTTCACAACATCTGTTCCCATTTTCAGGTTTTAAACTGAAGACGACGCGAACCGGAGACTCACGGTGCTTGGTCGAGCTCTGTGCAGAACCTCTCTGACCTCCTGAGACAGAGACACGGGCAGGGACAGGTAATCGATGTCTTCAGGCAGAGACATGTTCTCCTCCTCCTGGATTCTCTGGATCTCCCTTTTGTTGGACTCACAGTGAGGCCGGTACACGGCTACAGGACAGAGAGGAGACACGTCACCCCTGCTCCTCCTCACAACACAGCTGCATGTTGTTCCTTCTACCTTCTATCTTCAGTCTTTGGGAGAATTCCATGAAAGGCAAAAGGACTTCTGGAAAAATGGAGGCCAGCACTTGGAAGGACACGTCCTTGTACTGCAGCATTTCTATCCCACTGGGGGAAAAAGCCAAGATGAACTTTTAATCAGTGATATTTCACACATGCTAACAGGTCTTTAGCTGGTGTTGCTCACCTCAGCATGTTGCTGTTGGCCTCGCTCACATGGACGTCAGGTATCTTCCTCTTCCAGCTGGTCGTGGACAGAGAGAGAGCCTGCAGGGCTGCCAGCGCATCTTGGAGGCTGTTTTTTACTCGCACGGCCTTCTGGTGTCGTGAGGAGGACACGCATCCCAACTCAAACCCTGATGGAGGGAAAGGGAGTTAGAGGAAAAATAATCAGAGGTAATTATATCCTCCATCCAGGGGCTTGTTGGCATAAATGACAGGGACTACCTTTCAGCGTGAGGCGCAGGTCGGCGTTGTCTGGCCTCAGCGATGTTCTAAACTCAGCTCGGCTGGTGAACATGCGATACGGCTCCGTAACTCCCCGACTCACCAGATCGTCGATGAGGACGCCGATGTAGCTCTCAGTTCGGGACAGCGCCACCGGAGGCTTGGAGAGGGCCCGGCGGCCAGCGTTCACCCCCGCCCACAAGCCCTGGGAGAGTTTACAGTCATGTTTTCACAGCTGGAGGACAAAGCTCTGCTGCGTGATGTTCCCAGGTAAACATTCACATCTGGAGATAGGTTGTTTACAGGAAACACATCCAGCTGTTAGAGCCCACCTGTGCTGCTGCCTCCTCGTAACCCGTCGTCCCGTTGATCTGACCGGCCAGAAACAGGCCCTGAGTGCTCTTCACCTGCAGAGAAGGGCTCAGCTGGGTGGGGCACACAAAGTCATACTGCACCCCGTAACCTGGAGACAACACACACACACACACACCCACAGGCGTAAAACTAAAGGGAGGTTTCAGCTCAGTGGGAGAGCTATGAAGCAGGAGTTAGACAACGTACCAGGCATGTGGATCTCTGCTTTGTGCAGGGGAGGGATTTCTCTAATGAGGCGGAGCTGCACATCAGGTGGCATGGTCATAGACAGACCCTGTGGGTATAAAAGGTCAGAGGTCAACCCCTCGGGCTCCAGCCACACCTGGTGTCTTCGGCCAGGAAAGCGCAGCACCCTTGACTCGATGGAGGGACAGTACCTGTGAGAGAAACAGGTTAGTCCTCATATCTCAGAGCTGGATGGTAGTGTGTGTGTGTGTGTGCGTGGTGTGCGTGCATGTGTGTGTGCGTGGTGTGCGTGCGTGCGTGCATGTGTGTGTGTGTGTACCGGGGGCCTTTGGCGTCCTGCTGTATGTGACAGTTGAGATGAAGACTCTCCCTCACAACTCTCTCCACACCAGGAGTCGTGTAGGTCAGGTAGCAAGGCAGCTGCTCCTCTGGCTGCAGGGTTAAAATTCAAATTAGAACCTTCACAATGAAAATAAACCCGACAGCACAGGAAGTCATTTCCCACAGCGTTTCACATCAAACGCACCCTACAGCGTGTGTGGGTGTTCATGAAACTAAACGGAGTTGGACTGCTGTCAGGAGGGTTAAGTGTGGCCAAAGACAGATCCACCGAATCCTTCACGATCCTCGGAGGTGTCCCGGTCCTCAGCCTTCCGACCTTTAACCCCAGCCTGTCCCTCAACGTGTGGGACAACCCCGCGCTTGATGGAGCGTCTCCAATCCGACCTCCAGGGGATGTAGTCTGGCCTATAAAGAGCGATCCGGACAGGAAGGTACCAGTGGTAAGAACCACTGAGGATGCAGAGATGGGATGGCTGCTGTTTGCTAATAAAGAGAAAATAGGCAAAAGTTTACGTGTGGTTCCTTTTCACAGATAGAAATCATAAAGTGCTCCTGAAACACAAAACATGCAATGATGAAAAAGATAAACACATTAAATAACAGACAATTAAATTTTTTTAAAGCTAAATATGCATCAAATTAATCTCTTACTGATTAATGAAATTATTCTGAAAAAATATTTGACACAAAATTTAAGGATTAGGAATCAGACATAAATTACTGACATACACTGCAAGGCCAAAAAAAAAGTCTCCACCTGGATTTAACTGAGCAAATGGGTACGAACCACCTGTTGGAAAATTACTGCAAGTATGATTCTCTTTCAGCTGCAACAAGTTATTTAACCCCAACTGGTGCAATGAGTTGTTTCTTGTTTCTTCAGCAACCACGTGGAAAAACACATCTAATGGTCATGGGAAAGACATTAGTCTGTATGAGAAGGGTCAGATCATTGGCATCAAGCAGAGAAAACATCTAAGGAGATGCAGAAACGACTAAAACTGGGTTAAGAACTGTCCAACACATTATTAAAAACGGGTCTGATGAGTCCAGATGGACCCTGTTCCAGAGTGATGGTGTATCAGGGTAGAGAGGCAGATGAAGTGATGCACCCATCATGCCTAGTGCCTACTGTACAAGACTGTGGGGGCAGTGCTATGATCTGGGATTGCTGCAGTTGGTCAGGTCTAGGTTCAGCAACAGGATGTGCTCCAAGAATGAGGTCAGCTGACTACCTGAATATACTGAATGACCGGGTTATTCCATCTTCCCTGATGGCACCAGCATATTCCAAGGAAACAATACCAGGATTCATCAGGCTCAAACAGTGAAAGTGTGGTTCAGGGAGCATGAGACATCATTTTCACACATGGATTGGCCACCACAGAGTCCAGACCTTAACCCCACTGAGAATCTTTAGGATGTGCTGGAGAAGACTTTGTGCAGCGGTCACTCTACCATCATCAATACAAGATGTTGGTGAAACATTAATGCAACACTGGAAGGAAATAAACTTGTGACACTGCAGAAGCTTACTGAAACAGCATCACAGCAAACCCCAAAATAAAATCTAAAGGCAGTCCAATGAAATATTTGAGTGTGTGACCTTTTTTATGGTGGCAACTTTAATTTTTGGCCAAGCAGTGTATCTGGTAATGATCTGAAATATTTCCAGACAGATGACAGCTGGTGCCCACCCAAACAGATCCCATTAACTCTGTGTTGTCCAGGTTGTTCCGGGTTTGGATCTGTAACCAGCAGCTCCTCCACCGACCCCTCCATCACCGTCAGCCTGGGAGTGGACAGCAGCTCTGACTGCAGAGGGAGCAGCAGATGGTCAGTGAGGTTTCTCACAGACAAAAGTGTGTGTGTGTGTGTGTGTGTGTGTGTGTGTGTGTGTGTGTGTGTGTGTGTGTGTGTGTTACCTGCATAAACTCCCTGTAGCGTTGACGGTCCAGCTGTGCCCTTGGCCCCCAAACAGCAGGTCCTTTTCGACGATTAAGGATGGAGAAGCTGATCCCGGCCCAGTCTCCGGCTCTCCCACACAGTCCGTCTAAAGCGTCTACCTCCCTCACGAGATGACCTTTACCCACTCCACCCAGAGACGGGTTACAGGACAGCGCACCTTTGGGGATGTTGTCACACAATTAGCAGGATTTGATAAATAAGCACAAAATATCCAAATGTGAAATAAAAAATGTGGTTGGCTCAAATCCACTCTGCTCACCGATGGTGTGTATTTTCTGTGTGATCAGGAGAGTCTCGGCTCCCAGTCTTGCTGCTGCAGCCGCCGCCTCCGTCCCCGCGTGACCCCCACCCACCACGATGACATCATAGTGCTGTCTGGGGAAGTGACCCACACTTCTGGAAACCAGCGACAGGAAGCTCTGCACAGGCTGAAGCTTCTTTGTCAACATCTATACCTGTCAAAATAAAAGCACCATGCATTCAAACTTTTATTTTTCTGCTACACGACAGTTGTCATTACTACATTTACAAAGTAAACATTTACTCCATCTAATACCTTTTGTTTTTAACCAATCCATTCTGTGTTTTTAATCTGGCTGTAATTTGATACTTAAGTTCAGTTTTTATTTATTTTGTTGGTATGTAATTTAAATTATTTTGACAACACATTTAACACATATGACACACAATGGACATTTAGTCACGTTTTGCTTTTAGGAAGTCTACAAGTACATTAGCCTTTACTAGGTTTTACTTTTTTACTTTACTATTATTTGTGCAAAACGACAAAATCAAGATATAAGGTCGTTAATAAAAATGTTTGACTTGTTGTACATAAGACACAAAATGAGGGGCAATTTCTGCTTTTGGCAAACACAGATCTGCGAAATTAAACGCGATCAAATGAGTTTTTGTGGGGGAAAAAACTTAGTCTATAGTATTAAAACGCTGGTTTTTAATTATATTCCTTAATTTAACACGATTTGATCGAATCAGTGATGGTTATAGCCACTCAAAATAACCTCAAGCACTTACGGTTCCTTTGGCAGAGGATGAAAGATGTATTTTGTTTTCTTGGTAGTTTGCTAACAGCAAAAACTGAGACTCAATCACAGAAGAACTAGTAAATTACCGAACTGTCGACACACTAATGTCTCTCTACGGAGGCCGCCATGCTGTTTGTAGACCAGTGCTGTAATAACTGCTGTAAAGACGCACTCGCATTTCTTTGGCTATGTTTTTTTCTGTCGTCACAATTGATCGATGGTTCATGAATGAAACTGACAACAGAACTCAGAGCCGCCACACTTGTGAAAAGGTGGATGGATAAAACGTAATTAAATACAATTTAACACGATACGTTGTGAACAATTTGCGTTTATAATTTATCAGGTGCCTGCCACGTGTACAGCTGAATGCACCATTTGTTGTATGTTTCAGCGACACCTGTTTAGATCAATTAATTAATTGATTATTTATTTATTTGTGCTCGGCATTCCACGTAGGCGCGCGCTCAACGCACGTGAATTAACCCCCATCTTTTTTTTTCAGCAGGTGTTGTGTCAAACGGATAGTCCACCAGAAACGGAAGTGCGTCCGCGGGAGCGCGCGCTAAACATTGTCGGCAGCATTTCCTGTTGTCTTCCGGCATGGTTTAACATTAGTTCCCACCACCTCAATAAAAGCAAATTAAAATTAAAAAAGTATATTAAAAGTGTATGCTCACACATTATACATATTTAAGTATTCTTGCATTTTCCCACAGAGCAGACCTATACGCGTATTTGCTAAGGGAAAAAAAAAAACCTAGACAGAATAGGTTTATAGCAGTACATCAAGTGAACGCTGGTTGCGCTCGTGCCCGCGGACGTGAAGCAACTTTTCACACCACAGCAGTTTTGGCACAACACCTATTTCCAGTCAGCAGCGCGCGGATTGAGTCAAGTGAACCTACCGAAAGGTGGTGTTGACCGACCGCAGCAGGTTTTCAGTTAGAAACCTGAACATTTCAACCTCCTAAGGCAACTGACTGGCAGTAACGCCAGGTCCTTAGTTTATTACGGAAGAGCCAGCAGCGCCGGAGTTGAGGCTACGAGACCGACGGGAGAAAGTAAATCCCGGGGGGAAAGCGCCCGAAGTGAGCTTGAGGATCAAAGCTACCGCTAACTTAGCCAGTCACTGCTAAATAATTAAACGGAAACTGGTGGCTCTTTACTGGTTGTTTTTTGACGTAATAATTGGGGTTACAGAGTAAATACTTTGGGGCAATTTCTTAACTTATTTATTACATTTTTATTTAGTTACCGAAGGGTTTTGCCTCAGCGTTTTAGGCCACAGGCGACAGTAGCCGGTCTTTTTGAGGTTACACCGGCTCTGGTGCTAAACATAGTTGGATTTTACTTCCGCTTCATTACGGGAGGTATCAATTTTGATAAATTAGGTTAAACTTGATATTTTCTAAGCCTTGTGCTTCGCAATGCTGAAACCCCAGCAGCAACCCGGCTCAGGCGGGAGAAAGGCATCCAACGGAACGTCAGGCCCAGGCGGTATGTCTTCCCCAGTCAGCGGCAGCAGGACATCGACTGCAAGGTAAGCGAGTTGGGTTCTCTTGGTGGGATAGTCCGAGGCTTGTCTTCTTGTGTCTGAAAGGCCTACCGGTTGAAGTGCTATGCTACGGGTGGGCGTGGTTTAAGAGTTATTCAGTTTCAGCCAATTACATTACTATTTTATTGATTGACAGCAACGTTGAACCAATAAGAAAACTTGATTTGTTCTAATCCAAAACTTTGAGGCGGACCTAAGTGGGTGAAAACAATGAGCACCATAGCATAACGGGGATGCAAAGTTTATGTGGCCTGTCAGTGCTAAAGAAAGTACGCGTATTTTTCTAATTCTCGTAGTCAGTAAAACGTGTTATTGGATTTTTAAATGTTACACTTAAGATATTTTGGGCCTACAAAATGGTCTGGTGTTATTTTTTCAGAAGAGAGAGTGTGTGTGTGTGTGTGTTCACTGGACTCGATGAAGCTGTCTTTGTTTTGTAACCAGCTGCGATGCCCTTATTTTTACTGAATGCAACGTTCTGAAAACATTTTTAAATGGCTTGAATAAAGAAATAAATTACATTAACATAAATCGTGTTAGGTCAGCGTCTGTTACTTAAAAAACAACATGTGGAAAACAAGCACCTGCTAAAAATGTGTTTTCGGAAAGATGGCTCTGACTCCCTATGATAGCATTTAAATTCCTAGTGTGTGTGTGTGTGTGTGTGTGTGTGTGTGTGTGTGTGTGTGTGTGTGTGTGTGTGTGATGGCACGAATCGTACTTAACAGCGTCCGACGTTTATTACAGGAATCGAACTTCTGCAAAGTCCTCTTTCCAGTCGCCACCTGTGAGTGTTCTGAAAAATGTTGATCAACACACACACACACACACACACACACACACACACACACACACACACACACACACACACACACACACACACACGGTTTGTGCACATTGGACACAATAGTTGTTTTTATTTTAAAATAGGTTTGCATCAGTGAATGTGTAAAAACCAAACCTGTCAACAAGTTAACTGTGTAATTATGTTACAGTTTTTTGCTTGTTTTACATCAAATCTTCAGAAATCTGTCTTGATGCATAACTTTTGTGTGTAGGTGTTTGAGGGTGTGTACAACAATGCCAGAATGCTTCATTTCCTCACAGCTGTTGTGGTAAGTCAGTTTAGTCATTGTTAAAACTCTTCTCAAAGCAACTCATCAGCGCAGTATTTTCCTGCTCCTGGTGACTAAAGGTTGCAGAATAAAAGTGCATGGATTTGTGTCGTGGTTTGTCATTTCCTCAAATATACATGGTGTGTTTTGTAACTTTTTCTCCAAAATACTCAGAAATAGGGGTAGACTGACATATCGATCGGCGAATATATCTGGACGATGTTTACCGTTTTTATACATCGGCTGATATCTGTCCTTAGTAAAGCCTAAAGTCAGCCGCTTCCTTGGGCACCCAGTGCTGTTGCAGAATTTAAATTAAATTAAATTTTGTGTTCACAAATAACATCCGTATAATAAATACTCTAAATTAACTTAATTTAGTTGTCTGACACTGACAAGTGCACAGCTGGTTAAATTTAGAGTTCAAAAACTTGATTCAGTTTGAGAAATTGTGTCAACTGATGTTAATAGTGACATTTTAGCATGAAAATCAGATGGAAAACGTGTCGATCTAGGCCATGAAAGTTGGCCCATAAGTTCGTCAGTACATTTTGGCCATGGTCTGACCATGTCTCCCGCATGTTGATGATATTGACAATTAAAAACAATATCGGTTGACTCCTGTTTGAAAATTCTTAGATGGCAAATATTGTCCTTCTGTGTGCAATATTTGTGAAACCAAATGATTTTTCTTGCAGGGATCCACCTGTGACATCAGAGTGAAGAATGGCAATGTGTTTGAAGGCATATTTAAGACTCTCAGTTCTCGGGTAAGAATTTCGTCTCCATCAAATAAAAGCATGGCATTTTTGTTTTTGATTATTTGCCCTAGAAATAATTCCAGTAATTAAAACCTCTTCCTATTGAAAACCCTAGCCATTCATGTGGTTCCAGATCAGCTTTTTTAAACGTTTGAAAGCAATGGTAGGCACAATATATGATAAAATATTACCAATGGCTCCATTGAGATGTCATTAATACTGGCAAGTGTAGCTGAAGAAGAAGAAGAAAAGGTTACTTCTGTCACCGGCAGTCAACCCTGTGCAAAACGACATGCCAGTCCAGCACTCTAACCACCAGTCGCTTTGTAGGCAGGATGCATGGTCTTTACAACGGTGTTTAGTCACAAATGCAGAAGTAATTTGTCAGAATATCCAGGTTTCAGAACTGAGACCACCAGCTTCAGGTGGAGAAGTGCCTGGTGGGTTTATTCCGTTTGTAGGACAAATGTTTTCATCGACTAAACTGAAGTTCAGACATGAAAATGCACAAATGGAGCCAAAAAAGGGTTTGGCGGCATTTCTCATGAGGAAATGACTATCACACAGTAAAAAGTTCCAAAAATAAGATTATCCATGATGTGGAACCTTTAAAGTTGGTAAAAGTCAGATTTGTCCTTTCTCTGCTGTGTCTGTTGTCAGTGTGAGCTGGCTGTGGACGCTGTACACAAACGCAGCGAGGAAGAGGGCTCAACATTGGTTCCGCCACGAAGGGAGGACATCACAGACACCATGATCTTCAACCCTTCAGATCTGGTCACAATGATCTGCAGAGATGTTGACCTCAACTTTGCTACTAGAGGTGCATACAAATGCAAACTCACAGCGGGGGGGGGGGGGGGGGGGGGGGTTCAGCTCCAGAGAAATGCAATACTTGATACTTTACAAGTACTTCTAGGAACATTTTGAAATCACTTAAAAAGAAAGCAGTCCTCTGACACTAGGGCTGTAGCGAAGCCTCGATGACGTAGACGGCTCGATTCTAAAAATTCGTCGACGTCAGATCCGGTAGTCGACACACCACGCCCCCTTGTTGCGTCCTCAGGAGTTTGTAAATGGAGGAGGAATCTGCCTGTTTTCCCTCTAGTTCTCCGCCTTTACTAGCATCTCCGCCAAATACCGAAGACCTGGAACAATGTCAGTCCGCTACTAGATTCCTTTCCTGTTTTGCCCGCCTTCGTCTCCCGGCAACGGACAACAACTTCCGGGGTCAGATGCGCTGCTCCGTCTCTACTGCAGATGTAGAACATCACCGGGAGCGTTTCTCCCTTCATAAAGGAGCTTCTTTCAGACATTAGGAGAGCTGTTTTTGTGGTAGCGGTCTCTCCTCCGTGCTGGTCTGTTTGCTGCTGGGTGTTTTTGGTTTATTTAAACGTGGTAACTTGAACTTAACATTGGTAAAGCTACTGTTAGCGTTTTTGCTAACAGCTTCTTGCGTTTGGATAAACTGTTACGTTTTGGTTTAGAGTTCATCTTTTTTGTGGTGCAGATCTCCCTTTTATTACATTTAGAGTGTTGTGGGTTTTCGGTTTAGTTTAAAATATCACCTTGAGTTTGGTTTAACCACCCAGTTTAGAGTTGGACCTTCGGAGATCCTTATTTTGGTCCAGAACCCTGTAATCTTTGCCCAGTGGGACATCCCTAGTTATTTGTACTTTTGTTTTAATTCCCCACAGGCAGAATTAGTTTTATTATTCCCAACCTGTGGATGGAAAGATTAGTTTTTTTTTTGTAGTTGTAAATAAACCTGATCATCATTTTAACTTTTAAATCCCGTTATTGTCCCTTCCTTTTTGCACATGAGCCAAACTCCCCAGGAAGAGTCGTAACACCACTCGCCTCACGCACATAAGTGACCAAAACAAGCAGCATGGAGACACTCCATCTTCTACCACCTCTCAGGCAGCAGCCTGCACTCCCAAGTTCTACTCGTCACCAGAACATAACCAACCGCAACACAATAAAAGCAGTGTTATACAAAATGGAAGGCCTGTAGTGTTTATTCTCTTACAGTAACAATTCATCAATTTTTTTGAGGAATTTATTAGAGATTTTTTGGTTTTTATTAACTGTGCAATAGAAAAATAATCATTAGATTAATTGTCTAAATAGTCATTAGAATAGTCGACTATTCGATAAAATAATCATCAGAATAATCGTTTACCCCCAGCTCTATCTGACACACACCTTGTTTCCTGGTAAATAGAAGACTTTTCTTTAAGTCCTGACCGCGTGTGTTTCGGTTTGTAGACACCTTTACTGACACCGCCATCAGCTCCAACCGCATCAATGGAGAACATAAGGAGAAGGTTCTACAGAAATGGGAAGGAGGAGACAGCAATGGAGAGAGTTATGATCTAGACAACGATACAGTAAGTCTCTTGAATAACCACTAACGGCTCATGGTGAACGTCCTAAATGTAGTTTTAGATCAGATCGTGTATGTTTTACATACAGCCCATTATTCCGCCTCTCTCCTATCCGACCTCATTAATGCTTGTGTTTATCTCCACAGTCTAATGGGTGGGATGCCAATGAGATGTTTCGCTACAACGAAGTAAAATATGGCGTCACGTCAACCTATGATTCCAGCCTCTCCATGTATACGTGAGTTATCTTATGGATTCACTTCACTCTAGAAACAACTATGAAAAGAGTCGACAAATCACGTTTTGCAGTGCGGTCTTAATCTTTTTATTTATTTATTTAGGTTCTTCATATCTGTGAATTTGACAGAAGCATTTTCTTTCCTTCACACAGTTTTTCTCCATTTTCTTGACCTAAAGCTGATGATGATCGTCCACTTAAAGCTCGTGCTTCTTTAGACTTCACGTGTTCTTTACTCCTCCCTCAGTGTTCCATTGGAGAGGGGCAACTCTGAGGTCTATCGGCAGCGGGAAGCACGCGCTGCTCGTCTGGCCAATGAGATTGAATCGAGCCCACAGTACCGCATTCGGCTCAACCTGGAAAACGACGAGGGCAAAAGTGAGGAGGAAAAGTTCAGCTCTGTGGCCAGGGATGGCAGCGATCGGGAAAAGGGTCGTGAGAGCCCCCGTGACCGAGACCGCGAAAGAGGTCGAGACAGTCCTGGAGCTGGTAGCAGGTGAGACCGGCTGCCTGATGAGTATTCTGGGATGCAGGTGGACAGTAGAAGTGTGTACCTGCACACAAACAGCTCAACATTGCTTTGTTTCCATTTTGCAAGTCATAGAAATAAAATGAAATCATCAAAGTCCAACCATGTTGTTGTTCGTTTAGCGCTAAACTTAGTCTGATGACTTGTAGTTTTCTGCAGTGGACATCCTGAATCAAGATGGATTTAAAACTCACTTAATAGTTGAATTTCAAAATTTTTGACCATCAAAACAGAAGGTGAAGGACCTCCTGTTTAGTAGCCCTTACAGAGTTTTTACCCCACCCTAACACTGAGTGTGTTCACATGCAGCCAGTAACCCTTTTAAAACCCGAATATTCACAATAACGCGGTTCCGCAGGTCCATGTAAACACCGCCAAAAACCCGGGTATGCTCATAACCCGGTTAATACACCTGGGGTAACCCTTCTCTAACCCGAATGTTTGGTCGTGTAAACGCATACCGGGATATCCCCATCAAAGCGTGTGTTCTGCACATGCTCTGTTCGCAAGGAATCTTGGTCATTTGAGTAGCGAGACGTCTTGTATGCGCCAGAACACCGGAAGTAAACAACAAGTTGGGAGCAACATGGCGAGTCGCGGCACAGCACCACACTTTTGGAGAGAGACGAGGAAACTAAAGCGCAAACAAACGCGGTCGCTATCTCTTCCGAACTGGGAAACATGTTGTTGTTTTCACGGATACCTGATCAAGAAGAACCGGAAATGACGCATATTGCGTCTGGATGCAGTCCATACGTCCTGACGCTGCCCCAACGTCCGCATTTACATCGGGTTATGCAAGTTAAAGGTAACTCTTTCTATTTATGCTAGTAAACGGGTTATTCTGATCAACTCACAAACCCAAATACCGACCTTAATCCGACCATAACCCGGATATTGGCTGCATTTAAACTTAGTCACTGGTAGATGTTTTTGTCCATGCCCTGACTACTCACAGCTGTTCTGTTAGGGGGAGGGGAGGATCTACCTGATTACCCCCCCCCCCCCCCCACACACACACACACAACACTTTGAAGTCAGGATGGTGTGAAACAGCTAAACCAGAATGGGGGGGGGGGGGGGGGGGGCTGATGGACAATGACTCGTCTTTGAGCTGCTAACACCAGGTAGTCACAGCTAATTTGGTGAGTATGTGTGAAGTGGAGGGAGGCGACTTCTGACCAACAAAGCTCCTGCCACTGTTGCATCTGCAGCCCTGGCTCTGACACGTCTCTGGTATGCAGGGGTGTGCAAAAGGAAACGGTGTTGGCTTCGTTTGCGGAGCGGAGGATTTGTAACGTGCTGTATTCAGATTCAGGAGGGGAAGCTAGGCTTCATTTTGGGTTTCTGTGCACCAGCTGGTTTTCATGGTTGGACCGCAGGTCGGCTTGTTTGATGACCTCTGTTTCTCTCTTAGAGAGGTAAAGTACATCCCACTACCCCAGCGTCAGAGAGAGATGAACCGGGAGCGAGGTCCTGGTGGACCTTCTCCACACAATCGTCTCAGTGGATGCCACCGCTCCACTCCTGCGCCCTCGTCATCATCGTCCCCAAGACCCCCCCTACCCTCTGGTGCTGGCCCCCAGCCTGGGGTCTCCCCCTCAGAGAGAAACAGCCCTCTGTCAAGTCGAGGTGGGTCATACGTTCCCCATCACTCACAAGGGAGCCCGAGCCCTGGCTCTGGTCCTGCAAGCCCGTACACCCCTGCCTCTCCTGGACAAGCGTCCACGCCAGCTTCTGCTTCTACCGCCACATCCCCATCCAGTCCCCCCGCCCCCCATGGACACGCAGTTCCTCATTCCCACTCACTGTCGCTGTCTGACACCGGCAGACCCGTTAATGGAGGTGAGTCGTGTGTCTGACGGTTGAGCTGCTGGTTCTCCTTCATGTAGCTCATACAGATGATCTGCCTTGCAGTCTCTACTAGAACGTCCCCCAAAACCCAAAGACCTCCACAGTCCAGCAGGACGAACCGCGCTTCAAATTCACACTCTCAGCCCACAGGTAACCTCCATGCAGTCTTTATTATCATTTGAGCGCTGAATTCAGCCCCGGATCTTAATCTGAGTATTTGTTACCATCTGTTGTTGCAGCCACTCGTTCCCCTAAGTCAGGCTCCTCCCAGGACACGTCTTACTTGGACGCTTCGCTTGTCCCCCTACCTGCCCAGAAGACATCTGGCCCTGCCCCAACCTTCCCTGTGGATGGTAATGTCTCCCACTGGGCTTTTACTTTAGTGTTTATTTAAGGCTGGGATCTATGAAGTCCTATAAATATTAGATTTTTATTGTTTTCTTATTGCAGTGAATGAAATCCTTGGTGCAGCTGCAAAAGAGCGCTGTGCAGAGAGCCCGAGCAGCACGGAGGACGGCAAAAACAGCAAAGGTGTGTGTTTTAGAACAAACCCAAAAATAAACAAAAACAACAACATTAGCAGCTGCAGGCCAGGAGTGAAATATTGTGGTTTATTTTCAGCTTCTTGTTTTGTCTTCTCTCCATCAGCACCGTCGATCCAGCAGCGGTCTCAGATAGAAGAGCTGCGAAAATTTGGCAAAGAATTCAGGGTAAGTCTTTCTTATTTAGTTAGACGTTAATAGATAAATTCCTGATCAGAAGAGAGACCAACGTGTTTCGTGTGAAGTCGGAGAAAGAGAGTCTGGAACTTTAGCTTTGGATCCGTAGCTTCTGTTCCTGCAGGGCTGCTGCTGCTATGATGTTTATTTGTAGTATTTTAATGCTGTAGACCTCATCCTGCTGGGGACGTCTCACTCAGAAACTCGGGCTGTGTTGAAAAAATAGATTCTCATAAATATTCATGAGTATCGATTCGTATGTCCAAAGATGGGTTTAACCCTTTAAGCGCCAAAGTTGCAAAATAGCATCAAATGTCATTGCTGACATTTAACAAGCAACAGCTGCAACTATGGTCCCTCATGAAGTTCCTGCTTTATACCAGAAGGTAGTGGAGATGTCCGTCTTCAGCCTGAGCAACACTTATGGGTGTGTTTGTACTGAAAGTGTTGGAAGAGTTTTTAGAGCTTGAAAACTGTCGCCCACCAAGAGGCTCGGGGAGGAGGAGGGGGCGAAGGCGGTGGGTGCAGCTTCAGCTTTTGGATGATTCTTAATGTGTTATTTGTAATGATGCCCTGTGTTTGTGTTCATTGATGCAGTCATTGACTCTTGTTGCGCCCTCTGTTGGCTGTCCTGGATCTGTTTGCTAATCCTGCTATTGGGCCATGCAGCCGTTTTAACTTGCCAGTATTTCATTTATTTGTTGTTGAATGTTAATAGTGTTAATATACTACACAACTACATAGTCATGTAATTAAGGTAACGGCAAAAGGGAAGAGTTCGTTGGCCCAAATCGACATATCGGATCCAATCGCAATAACTGATTCTAAATCTTGAGAAACGGATCAGTTGTTGAAATCAGCTCTATCAGAAACCCGTCGAGGGCTCTAACCCTAACGAGAAAGCCAACACTCTTCATAAATAACACAAATAATGTCATGAAAACTCTGATTGCCTTCCAGCTGCAGCCGAGTGGAGGCAGCTCCAGTTCTCCCACTTCTCCTGCAGCAGCAACACCTCCCTCTGTCGGTGACATCACCCAGCTGGCCACAGCCAAGCCTCCATCGTCAGACCCTGCTTCAGAGGCTAAGTCTCAGCCTGCAGCTCCCAGTCCGTCTCAGCCTCAGCTGCAGCATTCGCCGGCTCCTGCGGACGAACCCAAGGACGCAACAACCACGCTGGGTTCTGCATCCGCCGCTGCCACGGCACTCGTTTCAGACAGGCAGTCGCCTGCAACCCCTCAGCCAGCCAGGACCCCAGGAAGTGAGGATGTACGGTCTGAGACGACGGAGCGGACGGAGGGTCTGCCAGAGTGAGTTTTAAACAGGATTGTTGGTTCTAATGATTCAGACTTTTGATTCTTCTCTGCATGTTTTTACTGACGTGAGTGTTGTTGTCTCGTAGCCAAGTGAAGAAATCAACTTTAAATCCAAACGCTAAAGAGTTCAACCCCATTAAACCTCAGATGCCCATGGTGAGTCACTTCCTCAGATCTGCTCAAATAAAACACGTGTGATGCCCTTACCTTCAGTCCCTGTAGCTGATGTGATCAGTCCGTTTCCATCTCGCAGACTAAACCCAACACAGCACCCACCCCACCCCGCCCTACCCCCCCGAGCCCGGTGGTCCTGCAGCACCCCGGTGGCCAGGCGCCGCTCTACAACGCCCCCTACCTCCAGTACGTCTCTCAGATCCACACTGTACAGGTAAGTTAGCTAAAGATGGTTCCTGCTACCAATGTGGGATGAAAGCAAGTGGTTTACAATTAATTCCATCTTTTCTCACCCCCAGCCCCCACCAATGTACCAGTACACCATGCCCACCGTCACCCAAGGAAAATACGCCAGGGCCAAAGGTCATTCTTTTCTCCATTTACAAAGTTTGTGTTTTTTCTCTTGAATTACTTATCTTCCTGTATCTGTGACCTTTGTCTTGTGGCCTCTGTACGTGACCTGCTCTTGCCTTTATTTCATCATAGGAAACACTTTTCTGATCATTCTGTCCTCTCACCAGGATCCGTCGTGGCGACGCGCTCTGATCATGGTGCCACAGCACCACAGATGCTTCAGGCCGCTGCATCAGCAGCCGGAGCTCCTCTGGTGGCGTCGCCCTACCCTCCATCTTATCTCCAGTACAACCCACAGCAGTACAGCCAGCAGCAGGTCATTCAGGCCATGACGCCCTACCCTGGACAGGTAGAGACTCTGGATGTAAACCGTTACCAGAAACTCCCAAATGCATCATCTGGGTTTCTCTTAGCTAATGAGGTTTTTATCTCTCCTCCACCGTAGCCCATGTACTCCATGCTCCAGGGTGGAGCAAGGATGCTAGGTCAAGGTGGTGGTCATCCACAAGCCCTGGGACCACCTGGAGGCCCTCAGTTCCCTGCACAGGGAGATGGGCCCCAGGGACCACAGCAGGGCATTTATGGTGAGCAGTGGTGGATTAGAAAATAACAGTCCTAGCATGGAGTCATCTTTAACCCTGTCCTCTTGTTTCTGCGTTACCTGCAGCCCCTCAGTCATTCTCTCATCATTCGGGTGCCGTTCATCAGCCACAGCCTTCTAGCACCCCAACAGGAAACCAACCCCCACCCCAGCACGCTGCACCCAGCCCCGGACAGGTACCCCCACTCCCCACCCCCAAAGTGTTTAGGCTGCAGACTTGCATTCTTTACAGCAAAGGGTGATGCAGTTGGACACTCTGTGTGTCTGGTTTCATCTAATTTCATTTGGATGTTTTTGTTTGTGGTTTATTTCTACAGTGATTTTATCAAATTAAGCAAAAGTTTAGAAAAACAAACCTTTTAGACTTATCCGGTGTGTTATGGCGCTTACACATCAGCGTCGGTTCCCCTCTGGGACTGGAGTTTGGTTTGACACACAGGTCAGATTTGCGTTTTCAGTTCCGAGGAAACTTTTTTTTTTTTTTCAGACCTCCTCCCCAGCGGTCAAACTGGGACTGAGGTGACACTACGGACTGATTGGCCAGCTGAAATTATGCGTACCGCCTCCGATCTGCCGGGGGGTTCCCGCATGCGCGATTCATTCTCATGTCGGTTGCTGTTGAGTAAACTTCTGTATGTGAGCACGCGCGTGCCTTTCCTCTGCATCTTAGCTCTTGTCCCAGCGGTGTGTGTGTGTGTCACAAGATTAGGAGGACACACACAACAAATTAATAAAATAATGTGGTTCAGAGTCTCCAAAAGCAACACAGCTCATGCCCGCCTTTGTTTACCTTACTATGGACACAGCATACTTTCCCACGCGTAGTAAACGCCGCCCACAGGCTCGGGGATTTCCGCATTCCTGAGAAGTCTGTCGTATTTATACGTGAACACTACACCGCACGTTTGAGACCGAACTCACGCCATCCAACCCGACCAAACCTCGACAGTGCCAATGCTAATGTGTAAGCGCCATTAGTGTGATAGACAGCAGCGCTACCCAACACACACACACACACACTAGTTTTTCTAATGTTCACTTGAGCAGGTCTAAGCATGAAGGTCCTCATTTTATCCGTTACACGACTCGTATTTCCTGAAGGAAGGAACCAGGAGCTGCTGAGTGTTTTACTAACTGTCTCCTTGCAGAACGCCCAGTCAGGCCCACAGCCTCAGTCCTTGTACCACTCAGGTCCCTTATCGGCACCCACTCCCCCCAACATGGCTCCAGGTCACACGTCTCCACAGGGCTCCTACCCAATTCAGGGCTACAGCATCCACAGCCATCAGGGCATCCCACCAACGTACCCGCTGGGGCAGATAGCACAGGTGAGGCTCAGCCTTTCTTCTTGAGATTAAAAACCTTTAAATTGTGCTCTGGGTGTTGAATCCTGTCTCACCCAACCAGGCTCACGTACAGGGAGCCATGCCAGGTCCTCACCACTCAGGCAGCCATGGCCAACCCCAGTTAGTCATGTTGCAGACTCCTCAGCAGGGTCCTGGTGGCGTTCCCCAGCACCCTCAGCATGGACCTCAGCAAGGAGCACACCAGCACTTTTACATCGGACACCCACAAGGTAGGAACCGGAACGTCGAACCCCCTCCTTTAAGCTGAAGCGGTTTCCTCATGGCTGGTACGATTTTCTCCCACAGCGATGCAGGTACAAACCCACCCTGCTACGTTCCATCCACCTGGAAACTAAACCCCTCTGCCTCCACGTCCTATACTCTCCCCACCCCCTCCCACCTGCCGGACATGAAGTCCAGGAACACACAACTCCGAACAAACGTTCTGGCTCACACAGAGGAGATGAGAAGATGAAGAATTCTGCCAGCACCTTACTCTTGTGCTTCAACGTTCATCAGTACACAACATCAGTCAGCCCCAGAGCAGGAGGACATTTTTAATGAAGACAAAAGGACAGCAGCAGCATCCAAACTCTCCTACTGCTGAGCTCTCCGCCCGTTGCTTTCTGTTTCTGCCTTGCTGGGTGCTCCAGTGGAAGACGGAAAAACAGCAGCAGACATTTTTCCTCTTCCAGAGAAAAGGTTTTGTAATTACCACAACACAACCAGAAAACTAAAACTGTCCAAACTTGAGACTACGGTGCGATAGGAGGGACATGCAGACGTGGGAGATTTTTAGCAACTTTTTTAAGTCGACACAGTAATCCTTCCCCCCCCCCCCCCCCCCGCCATCTTCTCTCCTGTAGGAAAATATAATTAATAAAAAAAAAAAGGACAAGACAAAAAAAATTAAAAAACAATGACTAAAAAATAAAGTTCTCAACTCAACTACATAAATGGGTTTGATATATTTATTACATCCTGTGTGGAAAATCAATATTTGCTTGACTAAAAATCAAGAGCAGGATTCATCTGAAGCTCATTGCGAATTAGCGGTTGCTTCCTGGAGGATAAATCTGCATGTTCTTTAAACGTCCACCAGGGGGAGCCCACCAACCTTGTGAGAAAGGGCTCTGGGTCAGTGGACCGAGTCTCTCCCCTTCAGGCAAATATGACAGCGCTCTAAACCAATGTTCTACTGGGAACGCCCGTTTGTCCTGCGTCCGCATGGCCTACTTCCTCCTCTCTGCAGCACGTCGGTACGGTATCGGTTTAGACGGCAGGTTGTTACTGTCGTGTCAGTGTGACAGGGCGTAGAGCTGCTCGGCACATTTCTCCAGCCGGTCCCGGTACTCCAGGTTGCAGTAGTTGCCTTTGGGGACCCCCTTGGTGCCGTAGAGGAGACCCCAGCAGCAGCAGGCGATCACCGCTGTGCTGTCGCTGTCACCTGGGCACAACCACAAAACAAACTTGTGAGGCAACGCTAATCACATGAAAACAGCTAGGCATCTTAAAAGGTCATTTATGCACAACAGGTAGGAGGAATGACCCAGAGACCCCCACAACCACTGACCTCCATGGAAAGCAGCTCTGCTCATCAGCTCCTCCCAGTCTGAGCTTCCCAGCAGAGCATCCAGTGCTATCATTGGGGCATCGTGGCCGCTGCGTCCCGCCCAACCGGACAGACTGAAGCTCTTGTAGATCTCGTCTCTCTCAGCTGGACCATAGGCAGAGGGCCAACTCAATGGTCCCACTCCATTAGAGATGCCCCTCTGGTCCAGGTACCTGCAAGTGACGAGGGATCGTCTGAAAATGGTTCAGACAGCACCAGATACATTTTTATATAATCAGTTAAAACATTTTTTTATAAGAAGCTGCAGTTTAGAAGCTAAACAAACAACGCCTCTGCTGCTGGACAGGACTTTACTACACCTCATCATTCGTTAACCTGGAACGCTGGTTTTTTTGTTTTGATTTTTATAATCTGCTGATGCAGCAAACCCAAATAAGCCTCTCAGCAGCTCATACCACTGCCACTTGTCACAGAAGTAGCTCCAGTCTCTCTCCGTCTCCTCCACAGCGAAGCCCCGATCCTGAACAAACTTCCTGGCGATGGGACACGCCTCGTTGATCAGACCCAGACCCCAGGTGGTGATGGGCCGGCGCTGGACGGCGTAGGCCGTAAAAACGGCCGACGCCACCGAGCCCAGGAAACCAGTGGGGTGAGGGTGGGTCATCCTGCCCGTCTCCACGGCAACAGCCACAAGCGACAACAGCTCTGAAGGCTTTGGGTACCTAATGAGGAATAAAAAGCAAAAAAAAAAAAAAAAGGTGGATATTTGGAACTTTAACCAATAATCATAATTATCTACATTTCAGGTTTTTAGAAACATCACAGTGCTTTCAACAGCTCAGATTTTAACACATTTATAGAGTCTACATATCCTCAATCTTGGGGGGGGGGGGGGGGGGGGTTTCTGAGCATAAATCTCCAGAATAAATAAAGACCTGACCAGGGTGTCCCCCTCATCTTGCTTAGGCACCAGCTCTCTGCGATCCTATTGAAGACAAAGTGGTTTAGATCATTTATGGAGATCTCCAGAATAAGTCACCTCAGACCGATGCACATGGACCTCATCGCTGCTCCACAGCCTGTCGCCTCAGAATTATATGGCACTCTGAAGCCCCCTTCCTCACCAGGCTTCAGCTGGAAAACCCCTAGAAGAAAAAATGACCTTTAAAGCTGTTTATAAACGTTATCCTTCAATATGCAGACTTACCCAGAATGCTTGAAGGCCCTGGTTTCCTCCCCTCCATGTCTTTCATCCCCTCCACGTAACGACCAGCCACCTCATGCAGGAGCTCCTCACCTGCCTTCCCTACGAGATTTTAAAAAAACTGTTCATACTGCAGATTGCACTGATTTAATTAATCTGCTAAAGCAATCTGATCGGCCTTCTCGCATGAAAGGTCAAGTTGAATTTCCAGCTTTTGTGTAGTCTTAATAGAGCAGCAAATCAAGGCAAGACTGGAAATTAGAGTTAACCTTTAGCTGGCGTTGGGGAGGAGGAGCAAGTGATGCTTTTGGGTCCTGATGAGGGCTGAGTCATACAATCAAATCCTCATTTGAGGAAAAAACAGACACCGACACAAACCACAGAAGGGACTTGGGACTTTAGGGGGTTTTAACCTCACCGGTCGCCAACCCTTCAGCCGTTGCCAGATGCAGAACGGTGTCGTCGCTCACCGGCCAGTCAGGGAGCTCAACTCTGATGTTCTTCAAGCCCCCAAGTTCCTGCAGCTCCTGGGAAGTCAGAAGAAATCATTTAAATACATTCATCTCCATTTGGCAAGCAACTTAAACAGCGTAGAGTTAAACCTGTTCAAAGCAACGCCGTCTAGGTGTGTTACAAACACTGACCTGGTGTGTTACAAACACTGACCTGGTGTGTTACAAACACTGACCTGGTGTGTTACAAACACTGACCTGGTGTGTTACAAACACTGACCTGGTGTATAGCAGGTCCAGACTCATTGTATTCCCACAGCTGGTTCCTGTAACCGAGAGCATCACCAGCACCACTCAGCAGCATGGCTGCTTTGTAATGCTCCACAGTGGCAGATCTGCAGGTAGAAGAGCGTAACTTTAACACGTGACCCCACAGGGAACACTGAAGCAGCAATGATTAGATTACATTTCTAGACAGACTGAACCGTTTGTTAGGTATGCATCTCTGTGGAGTTCAGACTGGTTTCAAATGCGTTTACTTTGTGTTTTTATATAATAAGAATAGTCAACCTCAATTAAACGAGCTCTTACACTGTCTTTGTTTTAGTTGTATTTAGGATAGAATATCAGAAAAGTCGTGAAACCAACCCAGACTTACCGGTCCATGGCAGCGCCGCGTCCCACCAATGAGTCTTCACGAGGCGGACACTCTCTTTAGGCCACACCGGGGATGCTAACAGAGCGGGTGCTAACACGCTGCTTACCACTTGGAGCTACTCCAGTCGCTGTTTTAGTCCCAGGTTTGACTTTTTCAACCATTCGCCGATTTAATCACGCGGCTCTGTCCGATCAGAGTCCCAGTCTGATAAAAACAGCGTGATCTATAAAAAGGCCCAGCGGGAACCCGACTAGAGCTGCAGCTCTGTCAAGCTAGCAGTGTCCTCCTGAGGTTTGTGAAACAGGAGCATGATCATTAATGATGAACCAGACACTTCTTTGGTATGTGTGTTTTAAATGACTTAACTCTAAAGTATCAGATTAGCAAAGGGTTAACACGGAACTCTGTTGTTGTAACACCCCCACTTTCTTCTAAATCAGTGGTTGAAAGTTGTGGCTAAGACCCCATTATAGGCATCAAAACCGTCAAACATGTTTATGAACTAGATGTTGTTGGTATGGAAGCCCATTTCCGCCACTCGGATAAAAAAAAATATTATCTCATAATTAGCTATCTCATAATAATGAGATACTATCTCATTATTATGACTTAATATCTCATAATAACGAGATAGTATCTCATAATAATGAGATGGTATCTCATAATTATGACTTAGTATCTCATATCCCTATCTCATCCCCCGCTAGAGGTGCTACTTCTTCTGATAACTGAACTGGGCATGAACTAGCTGAAGGAATGCTGGAGTTGTTTTGTTTTTGTTTTGATCGCAAAAACAATTTCAGGCTCTACAGTACTTTTCCCTTTGTTTAATAATGTTGTTGCTCACTGTTTACATGCTTTTGCCGTTGTTGTGCCATAAATCGACTCACTGCCAAAAAATGATTAGCAACTAAAGAAAGGAAGGGGAAAAAATCAAATCGCTGGAGAATTGTTTATTTACATTTATACAACGTTCACATTCAATACAGGGCGCCATTTTACATTGTTTATTTATTTTTTAGTATCAAGGCTGCATAAAGAAAGCCAGTTCTTACCACAAACCATCTTTCAATCGCAAATATTGCAAAAAGGATTAATATATCCTTATTGTGAACGTTTAAGACAAATAGCAGCACTTAAAACAGCTTCCGAACTGGAAAAAACTAAGCTAATCATTTTTTGGCAGTGAGTCGATTTATGGCACAACACCGTCCACCATGGTGGGCCCACGTGTTTAGGTGACGTCAGTGCAAGGGATCTGACCGCCTCCGCTAAAAATAAATAAATAAATAAAAATAAATAAAAGCCTGTCAAATGTCTCGTTACCCTAGATGTATAGAAAGGGTTCAATGAAGTTCCCTCCTCGAGTCCTACCTACCTCCGTAACGACTTTGGGGCCCCAACACATAGTTTAATAACCTGTTTAACAGGTCGTCGAGCTCTACAGAAGCATGTTAATCATCTCACTGATTACAATCGGGTGTGATGAAGAAAACCCCTTCAAATGCTGGATGGTGGCCCTCGAGGACCAGGCTGGACACCACAGATGTAAAGAAATGGGAAAATGGAATTAAAAAAATAAATAAAATAAAATAAAAATTCATTTCGGGATTTTGGTTTATGTGTTTTAGTGTTTTTGGAATCCGGATAAGACAGACTTTGTACTTTGTAGCATTTTACACCATCAAGCAATAAACAGAGAGAGAGAGAGAGAAAGGTCCCGTCAACAGCGCTAGTAACAGGCTAGCGAGCCGATTACGTTATTTGGGATCGTAGGATGTCCACGGAAGGTCCCGCCTATCTCGCCTCTGATTGGCTAGAAAGGCTCTATTATGATATGATTGGCTTTTTCATTTAGCAGCAAACAGTTTTCCCTCGCTAACCCGTCACCAACAGCACAGCTATTTTGGAGAGTTTTGTAAAGAAAATTAGAACATATAATAACCATTCTGTCCTGTTTTGCAAAACAAATTTTGTTTGCTGTTTCTTTTATTTAAAAACATGGAAAACGTAAAATGTGAACTTATTAAATGTTGCATTTACTGCACTGTTGGGTTATATCTGTTGGCTCTCAAGCACTGAGGTTATCTTATTAAAACAGAGTACAGGATATGTATGTGTGCCTTACCTGGGAATGAAATATAATAAAACTGCCCTATTTTGCCTGGCTGTGCAGATCTGTTTCTCTTAGAATAATGAAAACGGGTGAAAATATGTCTAAATCCTAATCAGTTTGGAATTAAATTTTGATTGAACATTTAAACAGATGATGAGCAACGTGTTCAAACTTGCAACAAGCTTTAACCCATTAAAGTGAATACATGAGGCCTATAGTAATATGATAACTCACCCCACAAGCCAGACATAAAGTCAGTCTGGTGATAAATGCAACAAGATTCATCACAAGTACACACTTTGACATTTTTCAGGTTCTTTTTTGAAAGAAAATGAAACTGGTATGTTGCAAAACAGGACAGAATGGTTATTATAGCTCAAGTTCAAATTGTCTTCAAAAACCTCAAGATCTGACAGCAGAGCTTGCAGCGAGGGAACACGGTTTGCTGTTACATGAAATAGCCAATCGTATGAGAGCAATCCAATCCAATCCAATCCAGTTTATTTATAAAGCACTTTAAAAGACCCAGCACAGGAACAAAGTGCTGTACAGAAAGTACATTAAAACAATTGACTAGACAGAAAACAGCAAAGATAAATAAAACACATGATACATAAAATTAAACTGGCCCTATATTAAAAAATAAAAACTTGATAAAACTTGATAAAACCGCATTTGAATCACCTAAAACAGCTAAAATAAAATAAAAAATAGAAACCAACATCTCACAAGGTATTAAAAGCCAGGGTAAAGAGGTGTGTTTTCAGGAGCCTTTCCAGCCAATCACAGGCGATAAAGGTGGGACATTCCTTGGACATCCTACGATTCCAACTGACGCCCCCCGGTGTCTGCAGAAGATAGTCTCCGGCTCTCCTCTTCGTGAAGACTGGCTTCTGGGAACGACGCGCTGCAATGGACCGGTGAGGCTGCACTTAAATGAAGGATGGATTTCATGTGATCTACTCCAAATACCTAATTATAATAAGCACACGGAAACATTTTATGCGGCTTGAACGGCTAATCACTTCCTGTTAAAAATGAATACGCCATACAACAGACAAGTGATCTTAACACAAACCAAAGTTTTGAGTTGGGGGGCGTTTGTGAGATTGTAGCTAATATAGAGAACCTTTCCCTGAACTGTGTTACAGTACTTCTATCCAAGTTCCGGTGTTTCAGTTCGAAGTGCAGTCACGTTTATGCGAAGTCCAACAGGGCCAAAACATGCGTGTGTCGGATTTAACTTGTAAACAACACGTTTACTTGTGGGGTTTATCAGTGTTTTATATGAGTTATTAGCTTTTGTCATGTGGCAGCACACGTCAACACTAAAATATACTTAAGAGGAATTTTAAATGAATAAAAATGGATTGTTGAGAATGTAGCTAATGCTACCAATTATTTACCACTCTGATAAAAGCCTGTTTGAACCATCGACATTGGTTTGAACACGAGCAACTATCTGCTCTGCTGGGCAGGACGAAGTAGAAGTTGGTTCCCTTTTTAGTTTCGATTCGCAAAATGAAAGTTCCAACTAGTTATTTAGACTTCCTGAGGATTCATGATCTGCTCTAATTATAGAGCTACAGTACTTAGACTCTTCAGACCTGGACTAGATTGCTCTGCACTAAAAGCAGCACACTTAAAGCACGGTTGGTGCACATTTACTTTTTAAAATGTGCCTTCACTAATGCCTTTCTACCCACAGATCTGTCACAGAGGAGCATTATGTAGCAGCCATGGTGCTGAGTGGTGTTGGTGATGCTGTGGGCTACAAGAGAGGGGAGTGGGAGTTCAATAAGTCTGGACCTTCTATCCACAAGGTCAGTGAGTCTTTGCGGGGTTTATTATAATGTTATTTAAGGATGCTCCTCTTTAACTTGTCTCTCCTGACTCTCCAGGAGCTGCAGAAGCTCGGTGGCTTGAAGAACATCAAAGTTCAGCTTCCTGAGTGGCCGGTGAGCGATGACACGGTTCTGCATCTGGCAACGGCTGAAGGGTTGGCGACTGGTGAGGTTATACGCCCAAATAAGTGACTATTTCTCTAGTTCATGTCTCTGCTTTATTTCCTCGAATGAGGATTTGATGGTATGACTCAGCCCTCACCAGGACTGAAAGCATCACTTGCTCCTCCTCAAGAACACCAGCTAAAGGTTAAATCTAGTTTCCAGTCTTGCTCTTATTTGCTGCTCTATCAGGACTTTACACGAAAGCTGGAGCTCAACGTGACCTTACACGTCAGAAGGCAAATAAGAACTTGGTGCACTAATTAGACAGTTAAAGTGTTTTCTCTGTCACAGGGAAGACTGATGAGGAGCTGCTGCATGAGGTGGCTGCTCGTTACGTGGAGGGGATGAGAGACATGGAGGACAGGGCGCCAGGGTTTACCACTGTTAACTGTAAGTTTACATAATGAAATCGTTTCACACCTGCTGTTTGTCCAGGCTGTCATAAAAGTGTAAAGGACGATTTTAGCTGTTTCTCAACTGAGGCCCGGAGAGGAAGGGGGCTACAGAGTGCCGTATAACCCCCGCGGGGCAGGCTGTGGAGCAGCTATGAGGTCCATGTGCATTGGTCTCAGGTGAGAGGCGTCTCAGTGCATCTACAACACTTCCGGTATTCAATTCTGACATTTAGGCTACGTTCACACTGCAGGCCTTGATGCTCAATTCTGAATTTTATTTGAGTAAATCTGATTTGTTTGTGTGGCTGTTCACACTATGACCTAAAGGAGTCATCGGACTCTGTCCAGTGTGAACACTTCACGGCCCCAAAGCGACCCGCATACACAGAAGACAAGAAGTCACACTCGGCCGAAACCAGGAGCAGCAGAGTTGTGCAGCACCCTGCTCGAGTTGTGATGTGAAAGTTTTCACTGACAGCTTATCCTCAGGATCAGGACCACACCTGCTCATTCTTCCGTTTTGGGCTGGAAACTGTTTTACTTCTTGTTCCCACTGTCAATCTGAACTATTATTCACCCAAAATGTTCCGTTATTCATTCATTCACGGAGAACCCCCACTCTCACAGAGACACTCTCCCCTTCACGAAGACAGAGACGCTTCGCTCCAGCAGCACCTCCCGCTCTCATGCTCTCCTGTAGTTTTCATTCCTAAACCTAAAACGGGATATCCAGACAGACTCCTGAACCCTTCGGTCAGCGCTTCTCTTCAGAAACATCCACACACGACGCTCACCTCCGCTGACTCGGTGACGTAGGAGACGGATGACCGTTCAGACTGCAGTCGCTTTCAAAAACATCAGATATGTGTCGGAATCAGTCCCACATATTAAGGTGACACGGATCGCATTTGAGAAAATCGGATCTGTGCGTTCAGACTGTCATAAAAAATCAGATGTGGGGGGAAAAAGCGGATTTGATACGCTTTTGCCTTCAGTGTGAACGTAGCCTTAGAGTTCTCAAAGGAACCGTGGAACCAGATGTTGATAGCTGTGATGGGCACTTTTGTTCATCTGCAGGTATCCAAAACCCGAACAACTGTCATCACTTGTGGCTGTTGCCGTGGAGACGGGCAGGATGACCCACAATCACCCCACTGGTTTCCTGGGCTCGGTGGCATCGGCCGTTTTTACGGCCTACGCCGTCCAGCGCCGGCCCATCACCACCTGGGGTCTGGGTCTGATCAACGAGGCGTGTCCCATCGCCAGGAAGTTTGTTCAGGATCGGGGCTTCGCTGTGGAGGAGACGGAGAGAGACTGGAGCTACTTCTGTGACAAGTGGCAGTGGTATGAGCTGCTGAGAGGCTGATTTAGGTTGCATGTAATAAAAAAAAAAAAAACCTGTTGCCAGGAATGTTTCTGTTGTTTGTCTGCAGGTATCTGGACCAGAGGGGCATCTCTAACGGTGAGGGGCCTGTGATCTGGCCGTCCACCTACGGTCCAGCGGAGAGGGATGAGGTCTACCATAGCTTCAGTCTGTCCGGTTGGGCGGGAGCCTGCGGACACGATGCTCCGATGATAGCGCTGGACGCTCTTCTGGGAGCCGGCTCAGACTGGGAGGAGCTGATGAGCAGAGCTGCTTTCCACGGAGGTCAGTGGTCGCCTCTCCAAAACATTCTGTGGGGAAACTCTTTAAATTGACCTCGTGTCTTCTCCAGTCACCCGCCCTCTTCCTGCTGCACTGCCACTGTAAAATTCAAGTGATGGAGTTTTTCTCACATTTAATGAAACGTTTAGTTTCCCATCATGCAACACTAAACAAATACCAGGATTTAAAACAGAAAACAAAATGACAACAAAGCTCAATTAGAATGATGTGAAAAAAGAAACATCACAACATTGATGTGAGATTGTAGCGCAGACTCAAGTCTTGGTGAAGCTGTTTTATTAAACCAAGCATTTAAAATATTGCGTGATTGTGTCCAGGTGACAGCGACAGCACAGCTGTGATCGCCTGCTGCTGCTGGGGTGTCCTCCACGGCTTCCAGGGGGTCCCTAAGGGAAACTACTGCAACGTGGAGTACCGGCACCGACTGGAGCTCTGCGCCAAGCAGCTCTACACCCTGTCACAACAGTAATGAGTGAATGAAACCAAATATAAACCACTGTCACCTTATGTCCTACTGCTGAATGTTATATTGCTGCAAAGGAAAATACAGGGAGTGCAGAATTATTAGGCAAGTTGTATTTTTGAGGAATAATTTTATTATTGAACAACAACCATGTTCTCAATGAACCCAAAAAACTCATTAATATCAAAGCTGAATGTTTTTGGAAGTAGTTTTTAGTTTGTTTTTAGTTTTAGCTATTTTAGGGGGATATCTGTGTGTGCAGGTGACTATTACTGTGCATAATTATTAGGCAACTTAACAAAAAAACATATATACCCATTTCAATGATTTATTTTTACCAGTGAAACCAATATTAACATCTCCACATTCACAAATATACATTTCTGACATTCAAAAACAATACAAAAACAAATCAGCGACCAATATAGACAACTTTCTTTGCAAGGACACTCAAAAGCCTGCCATCCATGGATTCTGTCAGTGTTTTGATCTGTTCACCATCAACATTGCGTGCAGCAGCAACCACAGCCTCCCAGACACTGTTCAGAGAGGTGTACTGTTTTCCCTCCTTGTAAATCTCACATTTGATGATGGACCACAGGTTCTCAATGGGGTTCAGATCAGGTGAACAAGGAGGCCATGTCATTAGTTTTTCTTCTTTTATACCCTTTCTGGCCAGCCACGCTGTGGAGTACTTGGACGCGTGTGATGGAGCATTGTCCTGCATGAAAATCATGTTTTTCTTGAAGGATGCAGACTTCTTCCTGTACCACTGCTTGAAGAAGGTGTCTTCCAGAAACTGGCAGTAGGACTGGGGGTTGAGCTCGACTCCATCCTCAACCTGAAAAGGCCCCACAAGCTCATCTTTGATGATACCAGCCCAAACCAGTACTCCACTTCCACCTTGCTGGCGTCTGAGTCAGACTGGAGCTCTCTGCCCTTTACCATTCCAGCCACGGGCCCATCCATCTGGCCCATCAAGGCTCACTCTCATTTCATCAGTCCATAAAACCTTAGAAGAATCAGTCTTGAGATATTTCTTGGCCCAGTCTTGACGTTTCAGCTTGTGTGTCTTGTTCAGTGGTGGTCATCTTTCAGCCTTTCTTACCTTGGCCATGTCTCTGAGTTTTGCACACCTTGTGCTTTTGGGCACTCCAGTGATGTTGCAGCTCTGAAATATGGCCAAACTGGTGGCAAGTGGCATCTTGGCAGCTGCACGCTTGACTTTTCTCAGTTCATGGGCAGTTATTTTGCACCTTTGTTTTTCCACACGCTTCTTGCGACCCTGTTGACTATTTTGAATGAAACGCCTGATTGTTCGATGATCACGCTTCAGAAGCTTTGCAATTTTAAGACTGCTGCATCCCTCTGCAAGATATCTCACTATTTTTGACTTTTCTGAGCCTGTCAAGTCCTTCTTTTGACCCATTTTGTCAAAGGAAAGGAAGTTGCCTAATAATTATGCACACCTGATATAGGGTGTTGATGTCATTAGACCACACCCCTTCTCATTACAGAGATGCACATCACCTAATATGCTTAATTGGTAGTAGGCTTTCGAGCCTATACAGCTTGGAGTAAGACAACATGCATGAAGAGGATGATGTGGACAAAATACTCATTTGCCTAATAATTCTGCACTCCCTGTAATGTTTTAAAATATGCTGCTTAAAAGTGAAAATGGATGTCTTATGTCTACTTCAGAATCACTGGTAAGATCTAGAATACTCAGTCACCTAACCGCTAACGTCTCCTAAAAGTCAGGCGTGATTCCTGCATGTCTGACGCAGAAACCTGACCTGCAGCAGAGCTCACTGTTTTCACCAGACTCCCATCAGAGCTGACCATAACACTTCTCAACACCGGGTGGTGCCGTTTCTCCACACCGAGCAAACATTAGCTCCATATCAGACATGGCAGCCGACGCTGCCAGGTGGTGGATAATGATGCCAGACAGCAGTTCCCCACGGCTGATGCACATGGTCAGTATTCTGCACCAGACGACAGTCATCAGAGGACAAGTGCAGTCTCAGGAAGTGAGTTATCACAAGGGAGGCGTTGACTAGGAGGCAGTTTGTCACTTGACCCGTTGGGGGGCCTTAAAGGACAACGGCGGGCCGAGCCAGAGAGAGCCTCAGTGGAGGGATAAGGACAAACGGTCCGTGTGCAGACGTGTTCACACCAGAGTTTATCTCTGTCCTGCTGCAGGGATGTGTGTTTGGTTTCTTCTGAGAGGAAGGAAATGTGAGACTATCCATGGGAGAAATGCTTCACAACATCTGGAGCACTACTGGTTTAAATAAGTAATTTTATACTTTACAGTATTGTAGATGCACTTCTTCCTGAGAATAAACTAAAACACTGGGCTAAAAGCTGCGTGAATTAAAAAATGTGCCTTTTTAACGAGTACGTGTAATTTTTCTCTGCTGTTCGTCTGATTATTAAAGCTCTTCTTCTGATGACGTTATTCCGTTCTGTTTTATGGGCTGATGACTTGGTAGTGAGTACTTTACAGAGACACGTTTATCTGAAATTCACAAAGAAGTTGATTAATGAGCCTGAAAGCAAACCCAGCTTCACAAAGCTGAAAATACTGTCAATAATAAAAATGTCCATTAGAACAGCAATCTGTTACCAAAGAGCATCAAAGATCTGGGCTCTCTGTGGCTAATTCACAATCTGGAGACATTTCTGGTCATGTGACTGTTTCCCCTCCTGGCACTGCTGCTTCCCCACACGAGTTGTTGGTTTTAGTTCTGCTCGGAGGCAGACTGGAGACACGGTCGGCTTGACTAAACCTGACAAAGCAGCTCCCAGGCTGCCTCGTAGGGATGAAACATGAGGCAGAGAGGAAGTTGCTGGGTGTCAGAGCAAAGTGTCGGCAGCATCGGTCTGCGTGAAAACACGATGGAGATGAAGAAAACTTTATTTTCTCCCAAACGTTGTTGATGTGTAATCACCAAATATGACCTTTTTATTCTAAAGGACTTCTAAAATTCTTCAACAATTATTTAAATCAGTCATTTTTCTTATGAATTAACTTTTTTCTCAAAAACGTCACATAGTTAGATAAACTGTCGTCTTACAGCATAATAAAAGAAAAATAGTCATTTATAAATGATTACTTAACTGATTTTGCAGCATAGCGATAAAATTCATGTGCGGCAAACATTCTATAAATAAACTGACTAGAAAACAAACCACAAGAGTTCATTAATAAAGCAATCCTAAAATGCATAAAACAAAGATTTCTTAAGGTTTACAGAGAAATCTGATGTGATAACTGAGAGTGATCTGCATCACTATCTGAACAAGAGGCTCGTATAGAAATGTAGTCCAGTTCAAGAGTACCCATGGGATGTTCTATGGGGGTGTTGGGGTCATTTATCCTGTCCCAATCTGGGTTGGACCCCACCAGAACTGCCCCTTGTCTCTGATCCAGTTCTTGGTAGACCGCATCTGAAGGAGTAGACGTGGAGAGGAAGGTGTCTGGTTTAGGAGCATTAGTTTCATCTTTTTTGTAGATTTCATGGTTCTGGTTCCTTCCGAGGCTCTGGGATGGTTCTGACTGTGAGCTAAATAGAGGCTCTGGTTGATGACCGGAGAAGGGAACGCTCCCTTCAAGTGTCCTATATTCTGGTCTATGTTGGATGGTAGGATGGAGCCAAAGATGGACTGACAGATTGGGGCTTTGTTTGCAGTAACTAAGGGTCTCTGAGCCTTACTGGTCCATCTACATTCCATCGCTCACCTTTGGTCATACAAGCAGCTCAAATGAGCTTCCTCTGTAGGCTGTCTCAGCCTTCAAGATAAAGCGAGGAGATCCATTTGGGGAAGCTTGGAGTAGATGTGCAAAAATGAACAACAATGGAATAGTTTTACACAGCTCAAAAAATAAAAGGCGACAAAAATAAGACGTCCTAGATCTGAATGAATGAAATATGATTAAATACTTTGTTCTTTACATGAAAGTGCTGACAACAAAATCACACAAAAATTATCAATGGAACTCAAATTTATCCACCCACGGAGGTCTGGATTTGGAGTCACGTTCAACATTGAAGTGGGAAAAAAACACCACAGGCTGATCTAACTTTGATGTAAGGCCCTTTAAACAAGTCAAAATAAGGCTCAGTGGTGTGTGTGTGTGTGGGTGGGGGGGGGGGGGGGGGGGGTCGACCCAGTTAAAGCTGATGATGTGGCAGTTGGTCTCCTGACGGATCTCCTCCCAGATCTGGACTAAAGCATCCACTAACTCCTGGACCGTCTGTGGTGCAACGTGACGTTGGTGGTTGGAGCAAGACATGATGTCCCAGATGTGCTCAGCTGGATTCAGGTCTGGGGAACAGGTGGCCGGTCGACAGCATCAATGCCTTCATCTTGCAGGAACTGCTGACACACACCAGCCACATGAGGTCTAGCCTTGTCCTGCATTAGGAGGAACCCAGGGCCACCCGCATCTGCTCATGGTCTCTATGGCATCCCCAGACTCTGTCACATCTGTCACATGAGCTCAGTGTGAACCTGCTTTCATCTAAAGAGCACAGGGCATCGGTGGTCAATTTGCCAATCTTGGTGTTCTCTGGCAAATGCCAAACATCTTGCATGGTGTTGGGCTGTAAGCACAACCCTCACCTGTGGACGTCTGGCCCTCATACCACCCTCATGAAGTCTGCTTCTGACCGTTTGAGCAGGCACATGCACATTTGTAGCTGTTGCAGTGCTTCTCGTGTTCCTCCTTGCACAAAGGCAGAGGTAGTGGTCCTGCTGCTAGATTGTTGCCCTCCTATGACCTCCTCCATGTCTCCTGATGTACTGCCCTGTCTTCTGGTAGCGCCTCCATTCTCTGGACGCTACGCTGACAGACACAGCAAACTTTCCTGCCACAGCTCACATTGATGAGCCATCCTGGATGAGCTGCACTACCTGAGCCACTTGTGTGGGTTGTAGACTCCTTCTCATGCCACCACTAGAGTGAAAGCACCACCAGCATTCGACAGTGACCAAAACATCAGCTAGAAAGCAGAGGAACTGAGAAGTAGTCTGTGGTCACCTCCTGCAGAACCACTCCTCTAATGGGGATGTCTTGCTAACTGCTGATAATTTCCACCTGTTGTTTATTCGATTTACACAACAGCAGGAGAAGCTGGTTGTCAGTCAGTGTTGCTTCCTAAGTGGAAAGTTTGATTAGACAGAAGTGTGACTGATTTGGAGTGTGTTCCCTTTATTTTCTTGAGGAGTGTATTTTCATTCTTCCTCTAAATTACAACATCACATACTTCTACATTCACTGTTGTCAGAAGGAGGAATACAGGAGACACCTCTGGCCCTCTCCCTGCTGTTCTGCCTTTTATCCAACATCCCAAGCCTTCTTGTCAATCCGCTCTGGTCAGAGATGGCATTAATGGTGAGTGCTGGGTCCCATGACACTCAGGGGATGAAGTCTCCATCAGAGCATCCACCGGATCGACCGTTGCTTCTCCTCAGAGATCTCCCCCTCAACAACCTCTTAAGGCCTCCCTGACCGTCACCCCCCATAAATGCCCTCATCCAGTATGCAGCGGGCCACATTACCCGAGTGCTTTTAGAGGTTTCAGTGTTGCCTAGCAACTGGCTGGAGGAGATTTGACACTGTTTATGTGCCTGTGTGGTAGTGTTTGTATTGTGGTGTGTCAGGATGTCATCCTGTAATATGTGACCATGTGTGTGCACGTGTATGTGTGTTATAGACAGCATTCGGACAGTTTCCAGGTAGCAAACCACACCCAAAAATCCATCCATCCATCCATCCATCCATCCATCCATCCATCCATCCAACCAACCAACCAACCACCAACCAACCAACCAACCAACCAACCACCAACCAATTCATCCATCCATCCACCCTCCACTGCTTTTCCAAGACTGGCTGATGGATGCAGATCCAGGAGGATAACCGAGGCATCCTTCTCCCCAGTGACACTCTCCAGCAAATTATGGGACTGCTTCTAGGTCTCCTTTCAGTTGGACGTTTCCCAGAAATCCCCCAAATTCCAGAAAATCCCCAAAAGATGTCAACTAGGAAACATTCTTGCATGCCTGAACCACCAGCTGACTCATTCTAAATGGGGAGGAGCTTCACCTCTGCTCTGAGCTCCATCATTTATGTCTGAGGCTGTCTGGCCACCCCGTGGAGAGAGCTCATTTCAGCCCCTTATGTGTGGTCATGATCCACAGGTGAACAAAGGAGAGGGTTCATCCAGAGAGAGCATTTTTTCTGGTCAAAAGCCACAACGTCTGATTTGGAGGAGCTGACGAGTCTCAGCTGTGAACCAGCTGAAGGTCATGGCTTAGAAACACCACAGCTTTTATTATAACCATCAAATGTAACCTTGATGTCAAGGTTTTAGAAAAAAAACAACTAAAAATCATCATATTATTTAAAAAGTGTGTTAAAATGATTATCCTTCCACCTCTGACACAAATCTCATCGTTGTGGAGGACAGGGCTGTACATCAGTCCGGTTCTGGGCTTTGTTTCATGCTCTTTTTTTAAATAAAAACAAGTGCACTCCTGGATAATGAAAGGCCATTTTCGCCGCTGAAGCACCGGGCTTTAATTGACACGGCTGCTGCTGTTGTCTTTGAAGAGCTGTTGAAAACTGAACTAAAAACACGTTTTAAAACATCCTTCTGTTATAATATATGTTTCTCTTTTCATGTGGCTTGATTCCATAAATTGGATAATTAAACTGCCTTTATGCTAATGACAGCTACTGTAGCGGGGGTATGTGGAAGATGTGGCTGCAGGTGCTGTTTGCAATAATCTGATTTGCTCTTAAGCCTCTGTATTGTTTTCTATCTCAGAACACAATAAAACTTGTCCTCCTCAGCAGAAACAAAGAAGCCTGCTGAGATTGAAATGGGTGAGCCTTGTGCATAAATCAATATGACAGCAAAACAACTTCAGTCTCATTATTGAGGCTTTTTCTAGATTTATTGATAATTTCTGAGCCTGTTCAAGTCTTTCCCAGACATTTTATCCAGATCTAAATTTGACTGATAACCCACATCTGTAATAGCTGCTGCTGCGCTTCATAAATGTTTGCAATGGTATCTTTGATCAATTTAACATTAAAGCTTTGTGTAAAAACAATAAAATAATGCCGTTTTATTAAAATAGAAAAACATTTTATTGAACATATTAAACATTTCTGTAATTCTTTTTTAGTAAGATGATAGTAGAACAACAAAAGTCTCTTTAAAATACCTTTCTGTTTTTTTTTTAAATTAATTTATTTATTTTTCTATTTTTTAAAACTAAGTTTTCTGTGTGGCTGGTTGTGTTGACCTGAGGCTGTATGTATGCATGTCTGAGGGGAAACTAAACAAATCTCATTTAAGGGTAAAAAAAAAAGACATTTCTGTTGTTGCTGTTGTAGCAACATGTCAGCTCATATCTTGTTAGAGAAAACGTTCAAAGCTCTGC